GGGGGGGGGGGGGGGCGGATCCAAACTGTGGGGGGGAGGAGTGCATGCACTCTTGTAAACGTATGCCGTAGTCGTTGGACCATTGACCTCGCATCCCTACAAAGCCCAGACGGAGCGCGCCTGGGTTTCGCCGGACCAGGCTCTCACATCACCAACAAGCGCGAAAAGAGCGGGTGTTGCTTGATTTTTTTTTTTTTCGTCTTCTTTTCTTGGCTTGTTTGGCAGTCATTGACGGGTGAAGGTTCTTGAGTTAATTTTTTGTGTTTAAAATCCTTCGGGAATGTTGCACACTTACTTAATCTTTCGTGATTTTTTTTTTTTTTTCTGCCTCGACTCGCAGGGGACTGTCGTTTCTGTGCGCGTACACATGCTCCTCGCGGCGGTGGGTGCAGGCAAGCGGCGGAACCAAGGGGCCGCTAGAGGACGACAACCGTGCATTTTCGGCTCTCAAATACCTGCTCAGGCTTGTTTGCGGACAGGCGAGTAGTGAATAGAGGGGATGGCATGTCTGCACACATGCTCCAGAGACAGCTGCATGGCAGTCAGCGGTGTGACAAGCCAGATGCAATGTAGCTGCACCCTTAACGTTTTCTTCTGCTTCATCGGTCGAGGATGAACGTTGCTTTGAGGTTGGGTTATTTTTGTTATTATACACCACATGCAGTTGCTTTTTTGTTTTTTCGCAGAAAATATGTTCAGAAGAGTGCCTACTTATTACGGGTGGTTATTTCTTCTGTAGGTGCTCACTGAAACTTTTTTTTTGTCCACGAGAGTTGCTTATTTTCAATATTTTTGTGTTTTCACCAACCACCGCACATGTTTTTTGTTTTACGTGGGATCCTTATTCTCAGGTGGAGATTGCCGAGGAGGCCAGGGAGGCGTTCCGGCGATCCAGAGTGACGGAGACGGGGCCTCACGGTCCCCTGTTGGCCACGACTCCAGGGATAATGGCCATCCCGACGTGGGACACGTACACGCCTATGGTCGTCAAGGGGGGAGGGAGGGAGGCATCCCCGTGGGCGCGGACCCCGGACATGGACCGCGCTGGCGGTGAGTGCTGCTGCTTTTGGTCTCGTTTGTTGTTGTTGTTGTTGTGTTATCCGCATCAGCTGGATCAGTACGGATATTTAAAGGTATTTAGCCGAGTGTGAAATATGACAATAATGTGCTACCTCGGTTGTTGTTGTCGTTTTTTTGTCCGCGTCTTTCGGACCAGTACAGCCAGCGCTCGCACTTGAGCAATTACATGGCAGTGAACAACTTGAGAGCTTAAACGGTGAAGTAATCGAGCCTTCAAAAAATCAAAGAAATTGAGCACCACTTGCGAGCGCGGTTAAGAACCCCTACGCTACATACTTTCTTGTCGCGACCATGAAATAGTACGGCATGAATCTGGGAAGCAAGACTAGGTCAAGAAGAGAGGTTCTGAAGAGTGCGGGCGCTGAACAGTACGGATATTAGAAGGTGCTGAGCTGAGACCGAAGAATTTTGTTAATGTGAAGCGTAACAACACTGTGAAACGAGGACTATTTCACCTCCGCGGTTGGGTGTCGTTTCCTCCTTCATGTTCGTCTGTCACGTCAGGGTACATCGGTGCAATACACACCTTTTTCTGTCCGAGATTTTTTTTTGGCAAGGTCGAGAGCCAGCTTCGAGTTGTCGACTCTTCGCCATCTCAGACCGGTCTCTCTCGTCATGGTTACATCAACATACAACTTTCTTTTTTTGTCCAGACGAAAAACCGTTTTTATTGTCTATTTCGAAAAGACTCTTATGTCGTCACAAGAAATGGCAAGGTCGAGAACCAGCGTCGATTTCGACTCTTCGCCATCCCAGACCGACAGTTGTCTGTCTCGTCAACCTTGTTTTGTTCCCGATTTGTTTGGCAGGGTCGAGAGCCAGCTTCGACTTCGAGTCTTCGCCATCCCAGGCCGGAAGCCCGCGAGCGCCGAGCAGCAGCGGGGATGACGAGGGGACGGTTGTAGACCATCCCCTTCCTGCGCCTTCGCCCTTGGGCAGGGAAGATGTGCACGACTTCGTGACGGAGTTGGTACAGGAGGTCATCGGGAGGTGAGACTTTGGTTCTAGGTTTTATGTAACGGCGGGATACTGTCTTGGACTCCACTAGCTATGCGGATGTGGCCGTGCTTTCATTCGTTTGGCCATTTTGTGTCGTATGATTTATCGTTTGTTTTGTTCTGGTTCGTCTGCATTATTTTTTTTTCTGCGGTTGGGTGTGGTAAAAAGTATACTCTCTTTTGTGCACCGTTTTTTTTTTTTCGTGAAACCGTAAACGTGGCCACCTGAGTCTTGATTCGTGGTTGTACTGGTCTCTGGGTTGTGGCCTCCAACTTTTCATCGAAACCCCTCACTTTTGACCTCGTTTTCGTTCGACGGAAACCCTTGTCACCATTTTTTTGAATTTACATTTTTTCTTTTGCGCTTTTCCTTGTGCAAAATTGTTGTGCGACCAGTTTTCTAGTTTGTTTTATATGTGTTCTACTACGTTTTTACTCCTTTTTCTTCGCGTACCACAATTTTTGTGTGACACAAGTAGCCTAGTTATCCTAACAATGATAAATAACAGAAACTCGTTCCTTTTTTTTCCCGTAAATTTTCATCATGTGGGACAGCTCGGTGGATATGGTCGAGCTCGCGAAGATCATGCAGATGGTGTTGGACGTGGTAAAGAGACATAGCTCCCACTCGAGCGAGGTTTTCTGGCGGGACGTGGGGGACCTTGGGGCGATGCTGTTCGGAGAAAGGCGAGGAAAATAGAAGTAACACTGCCGAGTTTTGGTTTGATGTCTACTCCCTATACGATTTTTGTTACGTGTAGCAATGGTTTCCAATGATTTCCAATAGTACTTTTTGTAGTTTGAATTTCGTAAACATGGTAGGTAAACGTGGTAGATTGTGTTTGATTAAGGGGATCTCCACCCCCCCCCCCCTTCCTGTTCGATCGGCTGTACCGTAAATGACACAAGATAACACACCCCCTGGACCGATTTTCGAAGCTCGATTTTTCAACTGCAGGAACAATCACAGCGCCGAAAACGGCGGCGTTGGAACCGTCTTGTCGAGAGCTTTCAAAAAATGTATCGTTTCGTTAGTTCATCCTCTTCGTCGTGGAGTAATCGAGCTTTGAAAATTGGTCCAGGGGGCGTGTTATCTTGTGTCATACACGGTACATCAGAAAATTTATTGGAGCAACCTCATGCTTAATTAGGACGGAACGATTGGCCGTCGGTGATCAGTCCTGTTGGAACAATGCCCCGTGCCCTAGAGCGGGCGCGTAGTCAACGGTCTAACCTACTTCCAATCCGGTTTAGCGACGACGGCCTCAGCGGTTATTTTATTCCATCTCAATACTTTTTTGCATTTCTAGCTATGTAGATTATACGGCTCTCGAGGGTGTTCGCGAGTCGTCGGGATTCTACTGAGGCTGATTGCTTGTCCGGGACCACGACCCCACGCACAGGTGTTTTCTTTTCTTTTCTCCATGCTCCTCTCTCTTCGTGTTTTTTTCTCGTGCTCCTCTCTCTTCGTGTTCTTGTCTCATGCTCCTCTCTCTTCGTGTTTTTTTCTCGTGCTCCGCTCTCTTCGTGTCCTTCTCTCATGCTCCTCTCTCGTCGTGTTCTTTTTCTCATGCTCCTCTCCCTTCGTGTTCTTGTTGGTGCTCCTCAGCAAACGAGCGCACGTAAGCGCGTTCGTGACGCTAGCAGCCCTGTGCAAGATGGCTACGGGGATTCTCAGAACGCTGCCGGACGGGGAGTTGGTGGCGAGAGATCTCGGCAACAAGGTCCGTGGTAACGATCCTTTCTTTGAAAAAAAACATCGCAGCGTATTTTCTTGCCGTGGGAAGTCGTATAATGAATGCTCTAGGACGGAGAGGTGGTACGCATAGCGAGAGATGTTGGCGACAAGGTGCGGCATGTTTTTTCTAGGTAGTGACGCTTTTTTTTTTCTGAGTAGTTTTGAGAGGGGTAATGGTGGCTACTACCGTATATGACACCAGATAACTTACCCCCTGGACCGATTTTCAAAGCTCGATTACTCCACGACGAGGAGGATGAACTAACGAAACGATATATTTTTGGAAAGCTCTCGACGAGACGGTTCCAACGCCGCCGTTTTCGGCGCTGTGACTGTTCCTGCAGTTGAGAAATCGAGCTTGGAAAATCGGTCAAGGGGGTGTGATATTTTGCGTCATATACGGTTGTTGCTTGTATCACCGGAAAACGGAAAAGGCGGCCGCAAGAGGGCTGATTTTGGTTTTTGGTGTGTGTGTCTCGAAGCCGGACGCGGACCAGGAGGCTGCAGAAACAGGATCAAAACCCACGAAAGATGGATTAGAGATCGACGGCTGTGGTAGTATCTCGAAGGGTACTGCTATAGTCTTTCAAGTTTTCCTACATATTTCATATATTTCGTTGATTGTATGTATGTTGCGTAAGAAGTCGAGTTTTGACGACTTGAAGACAGATGAAAAAAAAAAGCATCCAGGAGGATAAGCGGGGTGACAGCACACGCGTTTCTCTCCACAAGGGGGGTAGGGCTTGTGAACGCCCTTGGAATGTGCGCAGCTTTGTTGTAGGTTCGCTGTATTATAGTATCCTCGAATGCTCATTCGTCTGTGTCCTGTACTGTCCCCCCCCCCCTCCCCCCCCC